AGTGTAGACATAAACATATGGGGCCAGATGAGATTGGCTGGTTTTTCAGTTGTATTGTATGTTCATACTCGTTTTCTCCTCCTCCTTTATTTCAGGCTTTGGTATATTATACAGATCTTATTTAATAAGAAAGAAATTGTTTTTTTAAATACAACAAGACTCAAAAAAGCACCAAGTGTTGTTTGGTAAGTTGCATTAAACCACTGAACCTTGTAACAGGTGCCAATGACTAAATTTTGACAGGTGTCATTTGAAAGTTTAAAGGACGATGAGTTTTATCGTCTACAAAAAAATGTATTATGGCAAACTGGAACAATTCTTTATTTTAATATGCATTTTATCCTGCTAACAAAACTTGTGTTATATGGTATAGAAAACTGTCCATTACATTTATGATTTTTTTGCTACCGTCATAAAAAATGTACAAACACCATTCTTAAAACGGTTATTTCAATTATCAGCCACTTTAGTTTTAGTATATCAACTATAATTCCTATGAAATAGGATATAAAAATTGTAATCTAACTTGTAAATTGTAACTTCGTCATAAGCTTCTCATTTTGTAATAAACATGATACATGGTGTTTGCTGTACTATTAACTAAACGTTTTAAACCTTCACGAGTTTTACGACCAAAAAGAAACATTCTAAACTAATTAAAATATTTGTTGAATACTTCCTTTATTTAATTGCTTTTGAAATAAGATGTCTTATTTCAAAAGCAAAGTCCAAAAAAAACCTCTTCTGCTAGAAAATATTATGGAAGCCCTTTCTTCTTTTGGAAATTATAAAGATACGGGGTTCTGCTTCTTGAGCAGAACCCCGAATTATCTTCCACAACCTTGATCCGTTCTCTCCCCTAAGTTTGATCCAGAGGATCGTCTGGCGTCACATTCACGGACTATCTAATTACCTAATAGTGTCTTTTAAAATGTGTTAAAACAAACTAAAACCTCATGACAATGAGTTTATATATGTATATATATATATATATATATATATATATATATATATATATATATGTTATTTAAGTTTTTTTTTGTAAAAACCATGATGCAAATTCTTTAGCCTAAAACACTGAACAGTGGGACGCGTCAAGTCAAGAATAATTATTTTCCAACTCAGTTTGTTTTGCATGGAGTACTGGTACTTCAAGACAGACGGATTTTCCTCTTAATTTGGCCATTTTCAGTCGCTTATGTTGTAGTTATTTATCTCTCTTAATTTTTTTTCATGCAGTTTAAAAATCTTTTTGCATTTAACTCCATACGAAGTCAGCTAATCGACTTGTTATAACGTATTTTATATTAATCTTGAGCACGATCGACAACAAAATACAACCCTGTCGAACACCACTTTTTGAATCAATGTCTTAAGTTGTTCTGTTAAATGTTAATACAGCTTCCCTTTATTCATAAAAATATTGACAGTCACTATAAATCTGCATTAAATATCTGTAATTGCCGGGACTCAGTACTATGTAAAAAGCATGATTTGATTGTTTCTAAGTATAACATTAGATCTTTTTGGTCAATTGATCTTTCTTATATACGTATAAAGGTGCTATGATAAAATGGAGGTTTAAAGCTTTTGAAAAACAACAAATAAAATGCAATGACTTATGCACAATCCATATTTTACTTCAGTTTCGTAACTTATCAATTACTATAATCGTTATTGTGCTTTTGTATATTGTGTTTAATCTCGTTATTTGGGCAAACATCGTTTACTTATTCCCCTATTTAGCTGTGTATCAAATCTATGGTCCTACATACATATAAAATATCTATGCGATACATCTGTGTACTTATGATTTAATGTATTAACAAGAAATTGTATTAAGCATCTTATTAGACTGTAACTACCAAAAATAATCTTCACATTTTGGAGTATTTTATGTATTTATGACCTTTGATACACAACAATGATATAGCATGCGAATACACAACAGATACAAGCCCAAATATATAATTATTAAGGTCAAATATCATGTATCATAACCAATCATTTATTATGTTTATTTAACTGTTCCTTCAAAATCTTAAGGTATCTAACCACCTATCACGATCATGTTATTCTTCCTCATCTGTTGAATGTGACCTCTTCGGTATAATGCAGACAAAATATATAAAAAAAAATCGATGTTATTGACTCTCTTTTTCTTTTTGATATCAAATGATGTAAAATATTCATCAATATGTGAATATTAAGTTTAGTGGTCTCTTTTAAGATCTAATAATACAAAATATGATCTGTTATCTGTTACATTGTAAATTGTAGAATACTGGATGCCTTTGGGAACTGACGAATAATAAAAATTGACCAAAGAAAATTTGTTTTATTTACACATATCCTTACCCAAAGACACACATGGCCAATTTTTTGACTATGCTGTCTATCTTATACAAAATAATAAAAATTTTCGGATTTTAACCGATTCTTTCTTTTAAGTCCCCAACATTTAATGGACGTTTTACGTTTACTTTTTCATTTCTGCTCTCCTGATATGAAATCGTAAAAATTGTCGAATAAGTAATGGAAGTCCTGATCATTCAAGAACTAACCCCTTATACGTTTCTGCTCTCCTGATAAAAAATCCTAAAAATTGTCAAACTTTAATAAAAAATTAACCAGACCTGACCAAAAGCTACCAACTGACACCATTTGTGACCTAAACGTGACCATTCAGACGGTATAATTATTTTTACGAAATTCGATCAATGAGGTGCCAACATCCCATAGCTATGTTGTAATTCCTTAAATCCTGAATTCTTGAATTGTTAAACATTTAATGGTCTAATCTTTTTACGTTTCTGCTCGTCTGATATAAAATCGTAATGTTCAATCAGAAATTAATCACACACATTATTCTTAACTGCACCTTTTATTTTCATCGTGTTCACCGAATGGTTCAGTGGATGTGGGTTCGAGCCCCAGCTTGGTGTACAGAAAAATAAAAAGGCTAACGCAGCAGTTTAAAATTCTAGATGAATCTGCGGCTTAGACTAGAAAATGATGTCTGATTGACCTATGGTGGAACTGTACGGCAAGAGATAAGGGCTTTCGGCTCGGTGATACTCTCTATTTGTGTGTTTTTTTGAAGTTGGTTAAGCCTAGCTTGTCTTTATTTCTCCACTACAGTTCTGCATTTATCATTATATCATTCCACATTTCTTTGCCGTTTGGCTTTTCCGACAGTTTCCTCTGCAGATTTCTTTATTATTGTTTTTAACTGTCTCCATTCTTCCTCTGCAGTATCTTCCTCTTTGATTCCGTTGAGTTTTATTTGAAAAATATTTTGATATTCTGATATTTTGATTCTTTATTAACTATTATAATATACAGGGTGAGTGGGGAGGAACGCACCAAACTTTAAGACTGTATAATATACGTAAAAATAAGTAAAAATAACTCATATGTTGTTATTCGATTTTCATTTGTTTTCGAGTTATAGCGATAATAACACAAAGTTGTAATTTTACTGCTACTTATCACATTGTTGTAACAGGTATCTGTGATTCGTTTAATAATTAGTTAACTGTCATAATAGTGTAGTGTCAACGTGATTTAATGTCTATTTGACAGATTGTACAAAAAAAGTTGTTGCAAAATGCCACATACTTATTCAAATAGTGATTATGCAAATATGGTGTTTAATTATGGCTTTTGTAATGGAAACGGTAGAGCTGCTGTTGAAGAATATCGTCAACGGTTTCCAAATCAGAGAACTCCAGATAAAAATGTATTTATTAGAGTTTTCAACAAACTATGCGAGACCGGAACGCTTTCTAGTTATAAAATAATATCGGAACGTGCTCCCCGACAAAGTTTACAAGAAATACAAAATATTCTGGATTCAGTAGAAGATGATCCAGGGATCAGCTCACGAAGAATCGGTACTCATTTAGCCATTCCTCAAACGAGAGTAATTAACACACTTCACGAGCAAGGTTTATATCCATACCACCTACAACGTGTAGAGCACCTACAACCAGAAGATTATGCCAGCCGTATGCAATTTTGTCGATGGATAAATAATAATCGTCGTGTTATATCCCGCATACTTTTTACCGATGAAGCAACATTCACCAGAGACGGTATTAATAATAGCCGCAACTCACATGTATGGTCAGATGAAAATCCACATGCAACAATTGAAGCTAGTTTTCAGCACAAATTTTCGGTAAACGTGTGGTGTGGTGTGATCGACGGTTATTTAATTGGCCCTTTCATATTTGAGAACCGCCTTACAGGAGAGGAGTACTTAAATTTTTTACAGAATGAATTGCCAGGACTCCTACAGAACATTCCATAAATATCAGAATGCAAATGTATTATCAGCACGATGGAGCTCCTGCACATTTTGCTCGTCAGGTCAGGCAACATTTAAATACAAAATTTCCAAGGCGTTGGATTGGTCGCAATGGTCCTATTAGTTGGCCTCCGAGGTCTCCAGACCTAACACCATTAGACTATTTTTTATGGGGCTGGTTTAAAAATGAAGTTTACAAGGTAAAAGTCGACACTAGCGATGCACTAATTCGACGCGTTAAAAATGTTGCAGTCACAATTAGAGCAAACAATGACGCAATCAGAAGAGCAACGTTGAATGTTCATAGACGAAGCAGAAAATGCTTACAGGTCAATGGTGGTATTTTTGAAAATTTATTATAAGAACATTTAACATTAAATTAATGTTAAGTTACAACTTTGTGTTATTATCGCTATAACTCGAAAACAAATGAAAATCGAATAACAACATATGAGTTATTTTTACTTATTTTTTACGTATATTATACAGTCTTAAAGTTTGGTGCGTTCCTCCCCACTCACCCTGTATATAAAAGCCTAAAATACAGCAACTTATTGTATGAATACAAAATTAAACACTTAATGGGTGAAAATTTACAAAACTAATTCAATATTTACTGAACTACTGCGTTTATCTACCCTATGTGTTCTTCAGTTTACCAGATCATTTGACCATATCCCTCGGCCTATCAAGCTGTAACAAAAAGAAATTACATTACTCAAGATCAGTATTAGTAGTTATTGTAGTTTTTGTAGTGTAGTATTGTAGTTATTGTAAAAAGAGTTTCTGAATAAGTTGGCCGCCTTTGAATTTTGGTGTTACAGAAAAATCCTACGAATATGGATTCAAAGAATGTCAAACGTGGAAGTAACTAGAAGGATAGGAAATGAGGCGGAAATAATATTAACTATCAAAAGATGAAAACTTGAGTACTTGGAACATGTGATGAGAGGGCAAAAATGCGCATTATTACAACTTATTATGCAAGGCAAAATCCGAGGAAAGCGAAATGTGAGAAGACGAAGAATATCCTGGCTTAAGAACTTAAGGGAATGGTTTGAATGCAGTAGTGCAGAACTTTTTAGAGCGGCAGTCAACAGATTCCGCATAGCCATGATGATTTTCAACCTTGGATAGAAGATGAAACTTAAAGAAGAAGAAGAAAAAAGTTTTAGGTATTTCCAGTCGTTGAAGTCTTTACATTTAAATAATAATACTGCACATATTCAACACAATACAATGCCGGATTTACACTTCAAAAATGGTTGTTGTCTACTTTCTTTACATTACCAAACAAACCAAATGCAAAAGAATGTTCACACATTCATCACACAACATCGAACCATATAACTAATTAGCCAAATTACGGAATTTCTAAGCAACTGCTCTAAAGAGTTATTTTAACATCAACTATTCTATTCTCGCAAGTTTTTCAGTAAAGATATTCATCCTCGTCCCCCACTCTTTCGGTTCTCTATTTTGTCTAGAATTATGAGACGCAAGTATTTAGGTATTATTATCGTATTCTTCCAGATATAGGTAGCGACTATAGCCTTGTATTATGTAAAATAAGAATCATCGTGAAATACTTCAAACCCAACAGAGCGGCGTCAACACAAACAAAAATCAAAGCCGAACGACTAAAAACAAAATACTTCGTAGTAGAAGAAAGAAAAGCGACTACAAATGACGACACGCCCCCTCAAGTCAAAACCAGTGGAGGGGAGGCGAGTGAAAAATTACAAAATACTAACAAAAACCCGGCGAAAGCCATCAAAAAATTTAACAAAAACCCCAAAACCCGGGCACGTAGGGCTCAATCCCTTGGGCATCAAGTTGCCGAACTGAGCCGGGACTTAGAACGGAGACTTGAGGCCTAAGTAAGCAATTTTAATTCGCGGATAAGCCACATTAAGATAACAGGAATATAGCGAAAATGCGCTGTCCTGAGTTTTTTGCAAATCGGTTAGGAAACCATGTTGGGGTTCTATTACCCAGGACCTCCACATGAAGACCATTTGGCTGATTGTTGTGCATCAGAGTGCTGTAGGGAGAAAAGGGATGGTCTAGAGTATTGGAGCACGGTAGGGTGACTCCTGTTTCTACACGAGTTAACACACCTTGCTCGAAGGAATTGTTACACCCGATTGTAATTCATAGGGGTGAACATTTCTCATAGGCTGAGTTCAATTAAAATGCTTGCTGAACGCGGCGTCAGTTTCAGATCACAAGCGAAGCAGTAATATCTCCAAAAGATGCAAACCCCTAGTGTTAACGAAACGTCAAGAACTAATCTCAGGAGACAACGGTCTAACAGCCCGAACAAACAGTTTAACAGGTTCCCATTCCTCTAAAAGACCTTCTTATAACTAAAGGTTAAAGGGACAGGAACACGACTTCTTGTCGGTAAATATCGGTAAATAAGACGTGCCTCCAATTACCTATTTACAGTAAAATTATTGCCATTTTATCGCCATTCATCTCTGTTGTTTGTAAGACGTTTCCATATTGGTCCTGAAGTTCTTTTAATATCGTCGCTCCAGCGCATTTTCGGTCTTCTTCGTGGTCTTTTGGCTTCATATGGTCGCCAATTCCCGATTTCTTTATTTCATCGGCCATCCGTAAGATGTTCGTTATGTCCAACCCATTTCCATTTCAGTTTAGCTGCCCGTTTGACAGCATGTTTTACTTTTACTCTATTAAGAATGTCTTCATTGGTTTTATGGTCTTTTAGTGAGATATCCAGCATATGTCGTTCTTATTGAGATTAAATCAACGCAACTCATCTTCAAATTGTGTTTGACACTTGATTCAAATTGACAGTTTACTCACATTATATATAGTTCAGCTCAACAGGCCTCAAAGGCCCAAGGCTTTAACGGTTTTCTTCCATTTCTTTCTATCTTGTGCTAAGTTTTTCCAATCTTGTACCCGCAGCGACTTCAGATCTTCTTTTGCCGACTCCAGCCATTTTCTTCGGGGGCGGCCTCTTTTTCTTTTTGTACCAGCCTCCGTGTTTATTAATTCATTGGGAACTCTTCCTTCCTTCATTCTTGCTATATGCCCGAGCCATCTTAATCTTTGAATTTTCGCGAGTCTTGTTATTTTTGGTTGTCCATATATTTGCATTATTTCTTCATTCGTTCTTCTTCGCCAGATGTTCCCCTCTTTTAAACCTCCGTATATCCTTCTAAGAATTTTTCGTTCCCATCTATCTAATTTTACTTCCATATCTTTATTTAGTGTCCAGGTCTCGCTAGCATAGAGTACTGTAGGTCGGATAACTGTTGTATATATTCGTTTTTTTGCTGTTCTGGATATTATCTTCGACCTCAGTATCTTAGTCAGGCTCCCAGCACTCTTACTACCTTTGTCCATTCTTTTTATGATTTCTTGGTTCTCTTCGTTCCTATTTGTTAGTGTCACTCCCAAGTAGTCGAATTGGCTAACAACTTCAAAGTTATATTCTTTACTTGGGCTTTGTACCATAAAGGACTCTCCTAGATGATTTTCGTTTCCCCTCATCACCATATATTTTGTTTTTTCTTCGTTTATTTCTAACCCATATTCTCTGGCTATTCTCTCTATTCTAATAAAGATTTCTCTTAATTCTGCAGGTCTCCTTGTTATTAAGGTAACATCATCTGCATATGCTACACATTGATGTCTGTGATTGTGCCTCTAGTGTAGATGTTACATTTTCGTAAAATCTTCTCTAAGATCAAATTGAAAAAATCTGTTGATAACGGATCACCTTGTCGCAGACCTCTATTGGTGATAAAACTATCCGAAACTCGTCCTTCTAACATGACTATACTTTTAGTATCATTGAGTATGCATTTAGTCAGTCTTACTATTTTTGGTGGAAATTCAAAATATTCTAGTGCTTCATATACTTTATTTCTTTTTATAGTATCATATGCCATTCTAAAATCAATAAACAGCATGTGTACTGTTAGGGGTTGAATTCATATGAGCTAGCTAAAATTTGTTTCATTGTAAAAATTTGGTCAGTTACCGATCTGTTTGCTCTGAAACCTGCTTGATATTCACCTAGACAATTTTCAACTTTTGTTTTAATTTTATTTCTAATTGATATGGCCAAAATCTTATACACTGTATCTTGTAGAGCTATTCCCCTGTAATTTTTACATTCTGTAACGTCTCCTTTTTTATGCACTGGACATAAGACTGCTTCTTTCCACTGATTGGGTATTTTTTCTTTGATCCACACTTCGCGTATTAACTCAGCGATTTCTTCTTGTACCATTTCGCCACCTTCTTTTAAAAACTCAGCAATGATACCATTTTCACCAGGTGCTTTGTTGTTTTTTAAGTTTTTTATGATCTCTATAATTTCTTCCTTGGTAGGTACTTCTTCATTTACATCTGTGTCCCTTACTTCTTCATGTTGTAGTTGCGTTTGTTCTCTTTCATCTTGGTCGTCCGTACATAATAATATGTTCTCAAAATAACTGGCCCACCTTCTTAATTTTTCATCTGTTCCACCTAACAGATTCCCCTCTTCATCTTTATAATATCTTGATGTGGTTTTGTATTGGGTTCGGTCTCGTTTTATTTCTTGGTAGAAATTCCTGACTTGTTTATGTAAAAAATCTTCTTCAATACGAACTAGTTTCTGCTCTAAACTTGAACGCTTCTTCCTTCTACAGATCTTCTTTGCTTCCCGTCTTTTTTCGGCATAAGCTTTTTTACTCTCTTCATTATTTCTTATTATGCTATTTATTCTAGCTTTATTTCTGTCACTAATGGCTTTCTTACAATCCTCATCATACCAATCCGTTTGTTTACATTGTCTGTTTCTTGATAATACTGAGTCGGCTGCTTCTTGAATTTTTTCTTCTAGTTGTACCCATCTGCTTTCTATATCATTTACTGTTGTCTGGCTTTTCAGTTTCTCTTCAATTTGCTGCCTGAATTTTTTCCTAACTTCTCCCTCCTGAAGTAGTGCACCGTTATATATTTTTATTTTTTTACAACTAGCTTTATTAATTGTGGGTATTATTTGCTCCATTTTAATTTTGACCAAAAAATGGTCCGAATTTGCATCAGCACCTCTGTAACTTCGGCTATCTTTTATGGCTCTCATATGTTTGGCTTCTATTAGGAAATGATCTATTTGGTTTACTGTTTGTCCATCTGGTGATATCCAGGTACCTTTATGAATTTCTTTGTGATCAAAATAAGTGCTCATAATTCGCATATTGTGTTCGAAAGCAAATTCTATTACTCTTTTTCCATTCAGATTACTATCTCTATGTTTACTTTTTCCCACTGTTATTTGTTTGTATACATCCTCCCTGCCAATCTTGGCATTCAAATCTCCTACAACTATTTTTATGTCATATGATGGTATTTTGTAAAACATATGTTCTAATTGTTCATAAAAGCTATCTTTAACGTCTTCATCTGTATTTTCTGTTGGTGCATGCACATTTATAAAGGTTATTTTTCTATATTTTCCTCTTATTCTTATTTTACATAATCTGCTTGTGACTGCCTCAAAATCTATCATCAGATTGGCAAATGTTTTCTTTATAAAAAATCCCACCCCAAATACACGTTCATTGTCTCCACTGTTGAAAAACACGTAGTTCCCCACATCCATGGTGAAATTTCCTTTTTGTTTAGTTTCTTGTATAGCTGCAATATCTATCTCATATTTCTCTAACGTATCTGATAAGTTCTTTAGTGCCCCTACTTCAAAAGTTCCTCTAACATTCCATTGTCCTATCATCATCCTATTCCGCGCTTTATTCGTTTCCATATTTTCCTGACCACTGTGCCTGTGTAGACTCGTTTTTTTTCATTTACTCACATTAACAAAAACAAAAGAAAATCAAAATATCAACAGCTACCTTTGCACTTTTAAAAGTGAAATTCTTTATTTCGTATTTTTTATGAATTTCTTTCGGGTAAGCACTTAAGTTTTATTAGAAATTACTTAAAACAGTTTATTTCGTTCGTGTTTACGTTATTATGAAAATAAAAATTTAAAAAGAATTAAAATTTTAAGTTTTCATTTTAAAAATGCAAATGCTCTGTTTTTCGTGCCGGTGAGTATAGAATCAAGAACATAAAAATGACTTTACATTCTAAAATTTTGATTAGTGACAAAAGGATTTTATTTAATCGAAATAAATCAAAATTTTAATTGAAAATACGTTTTATTTAACAAATTTCACGTATTTTCAACCACCGTCATTTTAATTGAACATCATAATCTATTCCTATTGAGTAAAGTATACAAACGCCACAAAAAAATAGTTTCAGAACGATGAAAAGTATTTTACCCACATAAAGTAATACTATTGATCAAGAATATAGTACTAACCTGTTACATAGACATCAGCAAAAGCTTCTGCTATACCAGCTGAATTCTTAGCCACGCACAAATATTTACCCTGATGTTGATATTGGACAGGGTTGAAGTTAATGCTTCCACCGATGATGTAAACTGAAGTAGGCATGACACGTCCCCAAGGAAGCCAGTAGATATTGATGGGTTCGTCGCCAGTGGCGATGCAGTTGATAATATAATTGTACCCTGTACGGGCTACTAGGTTAGGGGAACTGATGGTAATAGTTGGAGGAACTATAAAGAAAAGAACGCAGGGTTAACACAATATGATTATAATCAAGGTATATACACTCCGTTAAAAAAGTATCGCATCAATGAAACTGCAAATTTTGTATTAACAATAATTTAAAACATGGATTTTTTACTGTTGTTTTTTTTTGTTTTTTAAGTATGTAACAAGTATCAAAAGAAAAATTCAGAATGTACGAAAAAAATGGTTTTATTTAATTTATTTCATAAATTAGACGTAACAAACAGCATTGAATAAAAAAATAGAAATCAAAAATAACGATAATTTAGTAAGACGTATTGCCTCCTCTAGCTCTTATAACATCTAGACAATGTTGTGGCATACGTTCAATTAATCTTCTTAGATAATCTTGATCGATATTATCCCATTCTACGATTAATAACCGTTGTAGGTCCTGAAGATTAGCTGGGGTCACATTACCAGATCTCCCTTCTGTAATGATGGTCCCAAACATGTTCTATTGGATTTAAGTCCGGGCTGTGCGCTGGTCAATTCAAAACTTATAAATTTACCTCTTGAAGGTACTCGGTAACGATTCTTGCGACGTGTAGGCATGCATTGTGATGCATTAAAACAAAGTCATTACCAATAGATGGAGCGTAAGTAATCTCCAAAGCTTCTTTAATGTACCCACCTATCAGCAGTTAAGGATCCTCCACCTAGCTGTACCAATTCGATTTGACCCCTAAGAGATATTCCGCCCCAGATCATAATAGATCCTTTCCCAAAGTTTTTCGCCGGTCTAAGTGAGAGCGCCCACCAAAGTGGCGTGGCAGTGGCAAGTAGCAAGTAGCACGCGTCTAGCATAATGTAACCAATGAAAACGAATGATTCAGTTTACACCAAAATGACAGTGACGTCATTCATTCTAATCATTCGTTTGGATTAGTTACATTATGCTAGACGCGTACTACTTGCTACTTGCCACTGCCACGCCACTTTGGTGGGCGCTCTAACTTAGGTTGCATTGAAAATAACGCTCGTCACCTCGTCTGTAAACTGGTATTCTTCAATCCGAAGTGTATAAACAAAATCTTGACTCATACATAAAGAGTATGTTACCCCAGTCGTCGATATTCCAGTTTACGTGCTCTCTTGCAAATGTTAGACGTGCTATACGGTGTTCCCTTGTAAGTCACGGGGCAGTGAAAGCTACTCTGGCCTTAATTCCAGACTGTCTTAAGGCCGATTCTCGCGATTCTGGACATAGCTAAATTCCAATGTAAAAGTTTATATCAAGTAACGCAAAACTATGGCAGATATGGAAATGATTCTTTTTTTATATGAAAGGTCTTAAAAAGATCTAGTGCAATATTTGGTTGTAAATTAATAAATTGTTTAAACAATTTTTTTTTTAAATATTTTTGGTTAAAATGAACGTAATTTTTTTTTAAATAGGGCACTACAGAATTTGACCCACTTTCCGAATCTGTTTTTATTTTTAACATAAAGTGTAACACATTTGGTATAAACTTTTTAAAAAATCTCAAAGTTCTGCTAAATGTAATTCTCTCTCGGTCAGCACATGCTGTCCTTGTCGGTAGTTTGAGAGGTTTCTGTAAGGAATCTGATTTGAAAGTGACGTTATGTGAGGTATAATTTTAAGAGTAGATACTGAGGAGTGGGAAAGGATGAATTAAGTTTATACAGGGCGCCGTCATGCCAAAGACGGTTGAAGGCTTGTTCTATATCCAGGAGGGCAGCAGTGCAAATTTTTTTCTTGTCGAGGCATACATTAATATTTTTAATAATCCTATGACACTGTTATAGAGTTTAATGGACTTCGCGGAAACCAAACTGGTGTGTTGGGAGCACTGAATTAATTTCGATGTCTTCTAAAAATCTTTGTAACAGAAATTTTTCTAATATTTTTGACATTATTGGAAGTAAGCTGATTGGTCTATATGAATTAGTAATATTGGGTGGTTTATTTGGTTTACTAATCATAATTATTTGTGCGAACTTCCAATTAATCTGGTAGTAGGCTAATCTTATGATACTATTATATATCATTGTTAGTAGAACAATTGCTTTTCTTGGTATTTTTTTTAATATTAGCCCGGTTATCATGTCCAAGCCTGATGGTTTGTAGTTACTGCATCTAGAAATTTGTTCTTTCTCATTATTAGGAGTAAAGCATTTGATTGGGCATGGAGTGTCTGTTTTTAACTTGTTCTTAGTTATTATTGTTATTAAGTTTAGGTGGACCAAAAACGTATGAGAGATGTGCTGCAAAGATTGATGCCTTTTCTTGTTTAGTTTTTCTTCAGCTTCCATCGGCTTTGTTTGTTGCTTTTCAGATGCTGTTGTCTTCTTTTGACATGCAGTTTTAAGTTGCCGTGTTAATCTATTGTATTTATTTTTATTTATATCTATATATCTTATCTCTTCTTTTTTGTGCAACAAAAAGTATTATATATACGGGTATGTTGGTGTCACTTGATTCTTTGTCATTCTGAGGGGGTGTAGCTATTTCAGCGGCTGTATGTATAGTTTTATTTATAGTATTTAAATTTACATTATTCGGATGTTTTATAATTTTCGTAGATAGTGTGACAATTATGGGAGTATGGTCGGTGGACCGATCCCAGGATGCTTGTATGTCAAAATAATTTAGTTACATTATTTGACTTTATTTTTTTTTAACATTTGTCAGAACTCACTATGGGAATAAAAGTAAATGGCCGATCAATCAATAATATACGGTTTGCCGACGACAGTATTTTATTAGCGGAATGTATTGAGGATTTACAACAAATGGTTGACAGAGTGGTAGAAGTCAGTGAATTAAACGGACTGTCCCTAAACACAAAAAAAACACAATTTATGGTAATTACAAAATCCCAACAGCTCCAAGAAAACATAACAATACATGGAGAACAAATTAAAAAAGTTGAAAAATATAAATAATTAACGAAAATAATGAGTACACAAAAGATATTAATGCAAGAATAGGACAGGCAAGAAATTCTTTCAACATACTGAAAAAAGTACTCTGCAGCAGGGACATTTCAGTTTCTTTAAAGATAAGACTTCTGAGATGCTACGTGTTCTCCGTATTATTTTATGGATTGGAGACTTGGACATTAAAGAAAGATGTTTCGGACAGATAAAAGCCTTCGAGTTATGGGCCTACAGAAGGATAATAAAAATAAGTTGTCACTGTAAGGTGAATAGAGTCACGAATGTCGAGGTGTTAGGAAGAATGGGAAAAGATAAAGAGGTTATAAATACAATTAAAGTCAAAAAACTTTAATACTTAGAACATGTCTAGAGGGGCGAGCCTTATAACTCGTTGCAATTATTAATGCAAGGAAGAATACAGGGTAGAAGGAGTGGCGGAAGAAGACGCACTCCTGGTTAAACAATTTGAGAGCTTGGTTTAACTGCACTTTTGCTGGCTTCTTTAGAGCAGCGGTATCGAAAGTGCGAATTGCCATGATGGTTGTCAACCTTCTTAGAGATGATAGAACATGAAGAAGAAGAAGACCCATGTATTTAGTGGTTCAAAACATATACATTCAGATAGCACTGATGATGAAATATTAATTTTGAAAACGTTATGTAATATAGCCCTATAAGGGCATTTTAATAATATTCTTCATAAAGGAATTTTTAAATAATTTTTTTTGCAATATATGAAATACATCTAGCTACAGTAATTAATAATAATTAATAATAAATGCCAAAATATCCCTCATAAAATAACACTTATTCAAGAATGCAGTACTAACCTTTTACGGTGACATCAACTGTAGCATTTGCTTCGCCAGCTCGATTCTTAGCCACGCACAAATATTGACCGGCATCTTGTGGTTGGATATTGTTGAAGCCAATGACTCTATCTCTGATGTAAACTGAACTGGGCATGTCACGTCCAGAAACCGACCAGGAGATGTTGATGGGTTGGTCGCCACTGGCGTAGCAGTCGACAAAACCAGAGTCACCTTGCCGGAGGACTACTCCGTCTGTAGTCGAAGACAAGCTGATCGTTGGAGGGACTAAAAAAGGCAGAATTAACACAATGTATTTATAAACAACGTATAGATTCAAATGATGTACTAAAATTAATTTTAAAGGAGCTGCTGTTTGTGACGGGTAGTTCTTATAGTTAGTAGACTCAGTAAAACACGGGTTTTCTGAGTTGGCTTCTTGAGTTAAACATTTCTGAAAGTTGGCGAAGAAGCTGTACTGATATCTTCTGCCTCAAACAACTAATAGAAAAAAATTAAGCACAAATCAAGAAACCCACCTCATGTTTACTAATTTGCAGAAGGAGTACGATAAATATCCTGTAAACAAACTCTGAAACGTGTTACGACAGACGAATATTAGTGTTACCTTAATACAAGCCTTAAGAAATTTGTATGAAGGTCAACATCACAAATAAAAAATGGAAACAGACTATTGCAAAGCTTCCTGGTTAATAAAGGTCTATGTCAGGGGTGTTGCGTCTCACCGACCTTGTTTAAAATATATGTTGCAAAAGCATTGAAATAGTGGAAACGAAAATGCAGAGCCATGGGTGTAGACCTTGAAGAAATTTGCTTGTATACATTGCAGTTTGCTGATGACCAGGTTGTTATAACAAACGATAAAGATGATCTGGAGTACATGGCAAGGAAAGTACAAAAAGAATATATAAAGTGAGAACTAGAAATTAATACAGCAAAAACAAAATACCTGCCAATAAGTACCGAACTATCGAACATCATATTAGAAAATAATGCAATCATCATGCCCTGCGATCATAACACATACCTAGGAATCGTTTTTGATACAACAGGGTAAGATAATGAAGAAATAAAGAGAAGAATAACGCAATCAAGAAAAACAATAGGTTGTCTAAACAACGTACTGTGGAGTCATTAAATAGGAAAAAGAAGAAAATACAATATCTACGAATATGATTCCACGAGGAAACTAAGTTCCTGTAGCTGGCTGTATACCATATATCACAAAAAAATTTTGTTAAAATCCTTTATAAAAGGTATATAAAATTGCCTCAAACGGGCTATCACAAACACATTGCAAAACGTTTTCGGATTAAACAATCCATCATCAGTGCAAACGGTTGTACATGCTAGTAGCCACCAAAATATATGGGTAAAAACCCCTTAAAAGTTATAAATTTAACATTATTTTACATTATTAGTTATTATAGTTTGTGATGGTTAAGTTACCGTTGGATAGGTAACATGGCGGCGTATGACTCTACATGAGTAAAATGGTCCTGAGACGAAGTGCCTACGAGGACCTGTTGATAACAACGTTGTTATCAACAGGTCCTCGTAGGCACTTCGTCTCAGGACCATTTTACTCATGTAGAGTCATACGCCGCCATGTTACCTATCCAACGGTAACTTAACCATCACAAACTATAATAACTAATAATGTAAAATAATGTTAAATTTATAACTTTTAAGGGGTTTTTACCCATATATTTTGGTGGCTACTAGCATGTACAACCGTTTGCACTGATGATGGATTGTTTAATCCGAAAACGTTTTGCAATGTGTTTGTGATAGCCCGTTTGAGGCAATTTTATATACCTTTTATAAAGGATTTTAACAAAATTTTTTTTTTATCTACGAATATCTTATTAAAAGCAGTCTATTGTACGGAGCGGAAACTTGGCGAATAACCGAAAACAATAGAAGAAAACTGGAGGCAGTAGAAATGGACGCTTTAAGAAGATCAATAGGAGTGTCACGCAGAGAGAGAATACGTAATGATAAGATAAGACAGCGAATGGGAGTTGACGGCTCTCTAACAACAGACATAGAAAGAAAACAGCTGATATGGTACGGACAAGTCCAGAGGATGGATACTTCAAGACTCCCAAAAATAATTATTCAATGGGTACCACCAAACCGCAGAAAGAGAGGAAGACCTAAGAAATCTTGGAAAGAGGGAGTAACGAAGGCAATGAGCGCACTAGATCTTACAGAGGGCCAATGGGATACAGGATGATAGAGTGTCATAGAAATTAGGCATCGGACAACGTCGCAAGACGTTTTAATCGCCAGCCTATACATAATATATATATATATATATATATATATATATATTATATATATATATATATTATTATGGTTGGCGATTAAACATCATAGGCTACTCCCGATTAATCTAGTAGATAATATATAATTTCCAAGAAAATAGTTTCAGGAGGATAAAAAGTATTGTACCCACAAAAAATATTACTATTGATCAAAAATACAGTACTAACCTTCCACGATGACATCAGCTACAGCACCTGCCTTACCAGCTCGATTGGTGGCAACGCACAAATATCTACCGGCATCTTGCAATTGGGTACTGTTGAAGCTAATGTATCCGTCTTTGATGTAAACTGAACTGGGCATGTCACGTCCTAAAGACGACCAGGAGATTTTGATGGGTTGGTCGCCAGTGGCACTGCAGTTGATAAAATGATACTCTCCTGGATGGGCTACTAGTTTACGCGAAGTCAAGGTGATCTTTGGAGGGACTGTAAAAAAAGAAGGCAGAATTACCACCATGTGATTATAAACAACGTGTACATTCTCAACGTGTATGGGATTTCTTAAATCTTCAGTTTTAACTTTGTATTACAAAATTCAAGGGACTACCGAATGCCCTTATAACGCTAAAGCGATTGATATACAATATTTTACAAGTGTGCAAGAAAATGGTAAACTGTATGAGGGGAGTGATCTGAGATGTCAGGAAACTGAGGTCTCAAAAGGTCTTAGACAAGTAGACTTAAACAACGGAGTTACTGTAATGATTATGTAGTTATTGCAGGTTGTCTAATTTCCATTTTTATCGACTTCTGGATGTTAAAAATCTTGTTCTTTTAAATGTAATTATCTTTTTGTTCTTCTAATTTACTTTATATCTCTTTTGAAAGTTTGTTGATGTTAAAATATTGGCTGCGAAATTGGTGATCGGTAAAAAATATAATACAAAACTTGAGCTTTCCCAACAAATAAATTGGCAAACTAGAATTACGCTGGTTTTTGTACGTAGATCGATTTTATAAGACGACTTAAACGCAACAGGTCAGCAAAAAGTGACTTATTTCTTAAATGGAAAGAAATCAGATAAAATTTAGTGGATTGACCCTAGATGGCAATTGATTGGATCTACCTTGCCACGGTGACGGTCAAAATCACTAGTAAATGAATAAAAAAATATTGTAAGCTAAAGTAGGAAAACTACCCAAAAGTAATAAAAAATATCTTTAACTGTTGGAGGAACCGGGATTGATTACTCTGCAACAAATATTGCTGTTGATGCTGATATTAACTTGTGGTTGTTTCGGTTCGGCATTGATAGCAGACCTCAATACGCATCTTGAAAGATATTTAATGTATAAAACGTTTTTATTTACTTCAAATGAAGCGTGTATTTTAACAAAGAGGTAAAATACACTAAAACTGGGTTTCAGGGAAGAACGATAGATGTAAAAGATAAGCAAGGAAACCTGATAGTGGTCGAAGACCAAATATGTGAGAGATGGAAAGAATATTTGGTAGAGATGCTATATGACGAAGTGACATACTGAAGAAAATTATTATGTTCCTAAAACTTAAATAGTAATAGAAGAAATTCCAAAGTCCACAAGCGAAAAAATTGAAGAAATAATAAAAGATATTGTAAATCAAAAATGCCCCGGGGAGAGCAGCATTGTGACAGAGGATATAAAATATGGAGGAGAGGTCTTAATAAACCAATTTGGTGAGCTAATACTAGAAGAATGGGATGCCGAAGAATGAAATAAATCGATTATAATTCCTATTCACAAAAAGGGAGATGGAACTGGATGCGCAAACTACAGGGGAATACCCTTATTAGAGGTAATATATAAAGTACTCGCTATACTAATTAAAAAACGATATAGAAGAATCTAAGAAAATACCAGGAAGGATTTCAGAAAGGAAGATCAACAACCGATCAAATTTTTATGCTAAAACAAATCCTGATCAATTGCTATGAATACAACATTTTAGCTTTCAAGTAATTTTCATTGATTACAAAGCCGCCTACGATATAATAGACAGAAACAAATTAATAGAAACGCTAAAAGAATGAAAGAAAAAAAAATGCCAGAAAAAATAATAAGATTGGTAAAAATTACAATTAGACAAACCATTTGTGCTGTGAAATGAAACGGTACAGTCTCAGAAGAATTCGAAGTGAAAAAAGGTGTTTGCCAAGAAGACCCGTTGTCTACATTGCGATTCAATATAGTTCTAGAAAAAATTGTAACGGGTAGTGGGATAAATAGGTCCGGAACTATTTTATACAAGGAGCACCAATTCTAAGCATACGCTGATAATGTGGTTCCCATTGCAAGAAATGGAAAATAACTATCAAATATAGCAAAAAGACTGATTTAGGAAAGCTCTAAAATGGGACTGAAAGTTAATATTAATGGAAAACTCGAGCAAAAAAAGGAATAAACACCAGGGGATCCTTTAAATTGGAGGTAGAGGATGGATCAGTTGTAGAATTCGGGAAGGTGGATGAATATATGTATTTAGGCACTCTTATTGATCAGGCATGTAGGAAGAAACTGAAATCAGCCTGTGACTGACAAAGAGCAATAAGTGTGCTGGAGCCATGAGCAAAATATTTAAGGCCAAAGAATCATCTTGTAATACAAAAATAAGAGTATACAAAACTATAATTAAACCCACAATGCTATACGCTGTCCAGACATGGACTATGAACAAAACCATACAGAACACATTGAAGGCATGGGAAAGAAAGATACTTCGCAGAATGTTTGGTGGAAAAGTAGTAAAGGGAAAATGGAGAAAACGAACTAATAAAGAAGTGTACCATTTGTATGCTAACCCTACAATAACATGGTGAAAAAACGTAGACTAGAATGGCGCGGTCATTTAGAAAGAACGACTAGTCAATAATATTGGTTGAAGAGTACCTGAGGGCAAAAAAAGACAGGAAGACCAAGAAAGAAATAGAGAGATGCAGCGATGGAAGATGTCAGAGAGATGGGAATCTCTCTGACATCTTCTGAAGAGATTGGAGGCTGATAGCTAAGAAAACAAAATGATGGAAATTATTTATCCAGCAATGAGCATAGAAGGCCTGTTAACGCTGTACATACATTATTCAAGAACACAGTACTAACCTTCTACAGTGATATTAACTTCAGCATCTGCTTTGCCAGCTCGGTTCTTAGCCACGCACAAATATCTACCGGCATCTTGCAATTGGGTACTGTTGAAACTAATATATCCATCTCTGGTGTAAACTGAACTGGGTATGGGAACCCCCCAACGCAACCAGTAGATTTCGATGGGTTGGTCGCCAGTGGCGCTGCAGTTGATATAAGCATGCTCACCTGGATAGACTTTAAGAACACTTGAAGTCAAGGTGATCCTTGGAGGGACTATAAAAAAGAAAACATAATTAACACAATGTGATAATAAACAAGGTGTAGTTTCGGATGATGTATTTAAATGAATTTAAAATTAAATAATTTAATTGTTAATAAGCTGCACCTTTAATAAAGTGTAATTCGATAATAGTAATTTTCCTTTTCTCGTTCATTAATTACAGGTTTTGGATTAATTTGTCAACTTTCCTCCATTCTTCTTGTATGCTTTTTCTTCTGTTCTTTATTTTAACTTGTTTTAACTTAACCTGTACTTAACTTAACTCGTACTATCAGACACGCCGGTGAGTTTTTCTCACGTTCAAAGTGACGTAGTTGGAGGAAAAAAACAATCTAGGGCAAAAATAAAACAATGTATAACCCAGAGATAATAATAATAATAATCAATTAATTTTTTTTAAACAACATCAATATTCATTATAACAAGAGTTCCACATAAAAGGAAGATCTTTTTCGGCGGGCTGCTGCTCCACATTCTGTCACTTGAGAATATTCCCTTGAGAGTATTCACTTGGGAATATTTATCTGCTTAGTTAGTCACTTAAATCAGTAAATTGTTAGCAACTCGCGTATGGGGTTACCCGTGGAGTTTGCTGTGTCATATCGGATCAAACAGACCAGTGCCTAATTTGACTACCCTCTTACCCCCACTGGATTTGTCATCACAGCAGCAAATTAGTGTAGCCATGCCAAGAAGAATTTCCTATGAACTTTTAGTGCTGTGCAAGATAAGTTGTTTAACTGTTATAACTGTTAAATTTAACATTTAAAGTGGTTTTTTAAAAAGGATATAAGGAGTACTGACCAAACTCACTTTTTAATATAATACAATTTTGATATATTAAGGGAAGGGAAATACATTTAATGTGGTTTTAAATAGGATATAAGGAGTACGGAACAACTCACTTTTGATAATATATGATATAATTTTGATAGATTTATCATTTTAATACATTTCTAATTTTGATATCTTTATAATGCTGTCACTGTTAATTCACATAATTTTAACTTATTTATAGAATTAGTTTTTGCTAGACGAGATACTTTTTTTGTTTTTGGTAACCGTAGATGTTCTTCGCTTGTATCTCATTCTAGTAGAATTAAGTTAAATTAAATTACTAACTTTTAGTGTTAAGACTTTTACTATTCTACGGACTATTCTTGGATTTTACTAATATTTATTACTTTTATTTGGTCCAGTGGTAGTGGCTATTTACTTGTTGAGGGGCTATTAGGTTCTATTGTATGTTTACACCACCCACTACCACTGTTATTCAGTTTTGCATTATATGTTAATTGTTCATACATTATATATATATATATATATAAAGGGATTTGAAAATCCAAAAGACCCAAACGGTCTTTTGGATTTTCAAATCCCTTTTATTAAAAGGTATGTGGATGATTTATTACTAGCCCTACCACCTGACAAGGTTCAGGGTACCCTATCCCACTTTAATGAGTTTGATCCTCATTTACAGTTCACTGTTGAACTTGAGGACACTACCACCAGTAGTATACCCTTCCTTGACATGCGTGTCATCAGAATGGGAGACAACACCCTAACCACAAGTTGGTATAGAAAATCAATGGCCTCTAATAGGTTCCTTAACTACCATTCCTGTCATCCCATGAAATACAAACTAAACCTTATAAAAGCTTTGAGCTATAGATTAAATAAATTGACACATCCAATTAATCGAAGGGAATCCTTTAAGTTATTGAGAAATATTCTAATAGAGAATTCATATCCTTCCTCTATCATCAATAAATACCTTTATTCGCATAGTTATGGATCCTCAATTTATGACATACCCGATGGTGACCAACTTAGAAACATCTCTAATAATTCTATAAATAGCACTGTTCTGCATAATACCGTTCTTGAGAATACTATCACACATTACTCTTCCTTACCTTATTTCCCTCAAGTTACTGAGAAACTTATTAACTTGTATAAACAAAATAATATACCTGTTAAAATTGCTGTTAAGAATGCAAAAACTGTTAGAAATTTGTTCTCTAAAACTAAAACACCCTTGTCCACTTTGGAACAAGTGAACACAATTTATAAAATTCCATGCGCTAATTGCGATTTATGTTACATTGGTCAATCTGGTAGATCATTAAAAGGTCGTCTCACTTCACATCGTAGCGACATTAATTTATCGAAACACACTTGTGCCCTAGCACAACATGCGATAAATACAAAACATGAAGTGGATTTTAATGAAGTTAAGATCCTTGCCACTGAACGCAATCTAGCTAAAAGACAGTTTTTGGAAATGTGTTCAATATTAAAACACCCTAATGCATTGAATAAGAGAACTGACATAAGTAACTTGAGCCAAATATATCATGCTTTAATTTTGCAGAATTAGGCTACTTAATCTTTTCACTACATTAATGTCATATTAGGTGTACTAGTTGAACTTTTTTCCATTTTTCATAAAACAATTTATATACATAAATAGAAATAAAATAAATAAATATATCAATAAAATAACTTAATATCTTTACTTAATTTTACTATTACATATGCAACCCACATTGCATTTCAATACACTAATTACTTTAATTAGTGTTTCAAATTTTATATTAAAATAATACAAATATTGTAATTGATTCATAGAATCCTTTGCAAATCACAGCTCCAAGTATATTGAACCTTGGGCTGTTTGGAAATTATAAAATCGTTAACCACCTGGCTGTTTAACTAGCCATAATGATTAACGTCATTACATACTTATGAGGTTGAATGAAAATCTCCTGTTTGTAAATTTGGGCTGATTAGTGAGGGGAGTTGTGTTTACACTACCAACTTTTTTCACTGTGTTGTCCTTTGCAACCGGGTAGTCATCCAAACTCAGTTAAACTTAAATTAACCGCCCAAAATTTGGGTTGGTATTTACACCTTGTTGATCTGTCAAAAGTATTTTTGACCTCAAGGTTGGCTGTCTTTTTGCGGTTTAGTTCGTTCCTGTTTCATTAAACGCCATTTTCCCGGCGACATTCATAGGGCTTTGATCGGTAACTTCATATTTACTATTTTTTAAAATTTTATTAATATCACTTATAATGCTACCTAAAGTTAAAATCAAAGCTTAATATCCATTAAATAGTTGGAAGTTATTTATGATTTTCTTGGTTCTTACTCACTTATTAACATTAAATAACATTGAATTTACTTTAGACCACATGGTCATTTGCTGTGCTAATTTTTTACAAGTTCATATATGTTGTTAGTTGCTTAACTGTTTATACAAGATCAGCGTATTATGTCCATTTACTTAGTTTCATTCACATGTTTGTTAATAACATTGACTGCTACATATCTTTTTAAGGTAACAATTAACATCGTTTCCATGATTGTGTGGTTCTCATATTGTAATAATTTTTTAGATGAACTGATGATGCTTTCAAAACTCGAAAGCGAAACGTCTTCAAAATAGATAAAGTAGCCTATCAACTTTGTCTTTTATTTCTCCACCTAGAGACCGATATAAGAACCCACCACTCGTCTGAGTGATCCTTATATATATATATATATATATATATATATATATATATATATATAATATATATATATATATATATATATATATATATATATATATATATATATCTATCTCGATATATCATATTGTTCTCATTAGTATTTTGAGTTTTATTTCAGTTTCTACTATATAGCAAGACAGTATTAGTATTTAGCATTTTGTATTTCAGGTGATTATCTCCAGTATCATTTATTTCCGGTCATTCGTTACTTAAAAATCTCAACTATTGTTGAGTTGACGCCCTTCTTCTTCTTTACTTATCCTCCTCTTTATATAGATTTATTCCCAGTGACCTTCTTTAGTTGTATTACGTTTAATATTAACAGGTCTCATTTCGTTTCTTGTACCATCAGTTCATTATCCTTGCTATCTGCTTTATATCTCTAAAGCCACGATTCGGTGCATTGAAGCTAGCTCGAATACTCACTTGAGATTTAGTGTCTCTTTGGCCATTTAAATTCGTTCCTCTGAGCTTAGCCATATTTCTTTTAGTATTTGTAAGTTCTACGCTTCCTAAAATCCAATACTCCCGAAGTATTGCGTTTCACTAAGTTCTACAGAATAGTAAAGCAAAGCAAATTATACTTACTCAAAACCGTGAGCCAAACTTTGATGTCGAAGAGTGGTCTGGCACTGGAATCTAAAGCTGTGCATTTGTATTCTCCTTGAGCTTCTTTCTCGACATTTTCGATGTACAAAATTCCACTTCGTTGGCTAGAGTTGACAGGCAATGGATGATCGTCCGTTCTTGACCAAATTACATTTAATTTTAAACCTTAAAATATAGAGAAACAGTATTAATGATTATCATTATCATTAGAGCATTTAAAGCCATATATCACTTCTATTAATCAGATCTCCTCTGTCTTACTCTCCTTCTTGATACTAATGTGTCATCTTGATGACTTCTAATGTTTCTATATACTAACTTGATCTTGTTTTTGTAGCATAATAATTTCTCTTGAATTTAAAACTTTTGACGAGACTGTATTTTCGGTTAATCCAGGCCATTCACGTTCCGACTTGCGGTCCCACTTAGTAGGACTACTAGTTGGATATTCGTCTCCAGTCACGCTCCGACTTGCTATTAAACTAGCAGTCCAACTTAAGTTAAACGTCAAATAAATTTAATTTCTAACTAATAATCAGGCTTATTCCCAAATAAAATAGTAAATTTGCAAAAGATGCCACAAGAAAATAACTTCAGAAAAACATAAGGAACAGTTACGTCTAATTTCAGTACAACTATGATTTAATTTTCATTGTTTGTTGATAATTTTTCCGTAGCCAATCCAAAGTGTTGGAAATTGTACCTGTATGGGAATGTCCGAAATAGATCTACAGAAAGGAAAATGATTTGCCTTAATAAAAAGGTAATTTTCGTGCAATTGAAAGTTTTCTATTAAATATTTTCGAACTAGAGATCTTTGCGTAAATTATTTCATAAAAACCTCATACGTAACAGGTGCCGAAGGTCAACTGATTGAGAAACTTTTCGATCCGATCTGTGATCCGACTTCCAACTTCACTATTCACGCTCCGACTTTGTCACCAGAGCCAGTCGGAAGTCGGACCTTCAAGTCGTCCCACTAGATGTTCCGACTTGTACTACTAGTTGTTCAACTAATCCACTAGCCCACTCGTCTTTTTGCCTGTATCAGATCCAGATCTAGTTTCAGATCCAACTGCAACTTCTGCAGTTGGATCTGAAATCATTTGATTTTGAGGGTGTTAAAATTGATCATAAATAAACATTCGACGAAAAAATTGTATAATAAATTGAAAAATTTCACAATGTACTTTTAAAAACTGAAATGTAAATATGTTGTGTAAATATGTAAAAACTATTTCTAAAATGAAAATAAACCACCCCGCTAGGGGTTGATGCAGTAAAAAAATTCAAAGCTCAGAATCAAAGGTCTCGTATTTGGATTCAACTCAACATTTTGCTTTTTGTGTACAGAGCTGCGTCAGGAGTAGGATAATACTTTTGGTCACATTATTTTAAGTTCTCAATGTTCTAAAAGCAAGAATTAATAGTTGGGGAATGAATTTACCAACAGTAACTGATATACTCAATACGTCCAAAGACGTTTCGTTTAGACTGAATCTAAAAATTTTTCGAATCTATATCCAGTAAATTTTTAATTACTTACCATTCTCATTTTCAACGCTGCACGGCAGTTCAATTCTATTGCCTAAAACTACTCTGAATTCTGGATAAAAGGGATGGTCAGGTCTGAAGGTGGTGGTGAAGTGTGGTCTGGACGGGTTATTGTCTTTCCAGCCGCCTCCTTCTGAGCAAAAAGAGAAAGAATAGGAAAAGAAGAAAGTAAAAAACAAAAAATGGTTCAGTAGGTGCTACTGCCGTACTGTTGCTGTATTTTTAAAATTTAAAAATATTTTTAAAAATTCAATAAAATAATTTTTTATTTATTTATTATTTTTATAGTTTTTGATACACTTTAATAAAATTGAAAAAGTTTACATGTTGCATAACGGACTTCTCTCATCGCGTAAATTAACTTTTCCAACTGTTTACTGTGGCCGCTACTGCGTAAAAAGCCATATTTAATATGTGCTGATTTAGAAATTTCTTCCAAAGCAAAAATATGAAAATTCAACTTCAAACATTTTACTAATAACTAATAACTATAAAATAAATAATGGTAAACATCCAATATATTAATTATATGAAATTGTTTTGAAATGAGAAGTGTCTAGAATAAAAATTTAAACAGATGATTCAATATTGCTATTAAGTAGATGATATTTATGATGATTTTTAAATTTTGACTGTTCGAGAATCGTTACGGGTCGCTGAAGCAGCGGTCGCCATGTTGGCGGCAGTTGTTTAGCGTTATGTCGAGTATTTAAGCTGTTGGGCCATTTTTCAATTTCGATGGCTTCACGAATGATTCTCGATTTTAAGAAGCGGATGGGGAGAATGGTTTTTGATTTTTCAAAATCTATTTTATGGTCTGTCTGTGGCCCTAGCTCAACATCATATTCAGATTGTGGCACTAGCCATTCTGTTGGGTTTCTAGCAACATGGTGCCATTTTCGGATCTCTAGTATTCCTCAGTTGGTCTTAACTCCATGTAACCACCTAATTCTCCGTCAGCTTTTCCTTCTTCTTCCTATGTATAACTACATATTTACAGGGCATTATATTTAAAATAAGGAAGATTTAGTCAGCTTCCAATATAATCGGAAGTGGTAAGTAGCTCTAAATGTTTAGAGTCATTGAGTAGGGGAAGGACGTGTACCTCTTGACGTTTGTACCTTTGGACAACTTAAGTATTTCGAAAACTACAAACAGTCTTCTTCTTATTGTGCCCTATCCAATTAGTGGATGTTGGCGACAATTCTGGAATACTCCTCTCGATCTTGTGTGGCTCTAAAAAGTGCATGAGCATCGAGATTTGTCCAATCCCTTATGTTTTTAAGCCATGAGTATTTCTTTCTTACAATGCCCCATTTTCCTTCTATATTCCCTTCTATAACAAGCTTTAAGACCTGGTACTTGGAATTTCGAAATATATGACCCAGATAAGCAGTTTTCTTCTTTTTATTATTGGCAGCAATTCTGGTTCTCTGTCCAGTTGATTTAATACTTCGACATTTGTTGTGTGATCTATCCAGGGAATTTTAAGTAGTCTTTTAAATACCCACATTCCACAGGCCTCCAATAGGTTCATCACATTGGCTTTTATGGTCCAGGTTTCTACACCGTATAGCAGTATGGAGTAAATGTAACATTTTACAAAGCGATATCGAATCATTAAGTTGAGGCTGCTGTTGCTTAGCAAGGTTCTCATATTAGTAAATGCTGTTCTGGCTTGTTCAATCCTGCTACGTATCTCTATGTGTGGATCTAGATCTTCAGTTATCCAACTACCGAGATATCTGAACTTGGGGACCTTTTGGATGTTCTTGTTGTTTACTCTTATGTTCAATTGCATATTTCGTGTTCTACTAACCACCATTACCTTCGTCTTGTCTATATTAATCTTCAAGCCCACTCGTTCACCTTCAGTGTTTATTCTATCTATTAGTCGTTGCAGCGCTTCTTAGCTATCAGCAATTATGACTGTATCATCAGCATAGCGAAGATTACTAATAGTCTGTCCGTTGATTTTGATTCCATCTTCAGTGTCACTTAAAGCTCTATCAAAAATCGTTTTAGAGTAAAGATTAAAAAGGAGGGGTGACAGAACACAACCCTGTCGTACACCTTTTTCGATTGAGAAATATGATGTACATTCCAGTTCAACTCTCACAGATGCCACTTGATTAATATAAAGGTTATTTGTGATTTTAAGGTCATTCTCATCTATCGAACGTTCCTGGAGCAATCTTATTAATTCTGAATGATTAACACAATCGAATGCTTTACTACAAACGAATGAAGCTAAAAAGCGTCAACTATAATATTTTATGTAGAGTTGGCAACAGTGTTTGAACAAAGTGTTTGTTACTGTGTGTTTACAGCTCTGAGTTTGTTTTCAAAATTTTTATTGATTGATCGATTCTTAAAGTTTATTAGCAATATTCACCAACCTTTATTTTGACAATCGCTGTAGTTATTGCAAAACATTTGATATCACAATAAAGAGTATTAATCTAGATAATATTTATACATAATATTTTTCAGTTGCATCTTACTCTAAAATAGCTTAGACTGTTTAAAACTCTAAATCTATAAACTTTAAACCAATATCGAAGAAAATGGCCTACGTTACTTATAAGAAAACCGGAGGCAACAAGTTAAGCTAGAGCCACGAGTTTTAATAAAAACAATGTTAAGCAATTTTTTAATAGTGACACTGATGTTATGAAGACGTATCAATTTGGCCCTAAATGTACCAGGATAGATTAATATTAAACTAGCCTTTGATGGATGGCTCTACTTGATACCGAATTGGTTTCGATGTTGATATTTGCCATTCATGACATGACGTCTGTCAAAATTTTGAGCAAAATTTTAATAATCAAATCTTGCCCAAGTACTTTCTCTTTCTACAGCATCATTTGGTTTTTGGAGAAATAGAAAAAGTCGAGCAGAATTTGAAGACCTTCAATATTATCTGATAGAATTACTGTATCGTCTGCATATCTAATCACATTAAGTAGTTCCCCGTTGATTTTTATTCCATATGGCTGTCTCTCAAGTGTCTTTTTAAATAACTGATCCGAGTAAACATTGAACAATGTTAGCGACAAAATGCAACCTTGTCTGACTCCTCGTTGTATGAGGATTTCATCGGTGTATTTATCTCCAATTCTTACGATAGCAGTTTGATTCCAGTACAAATTTTTAATGACACGAATATCCTTGTCATCTATTCCGATATTTTTCAGTATTTGCATTAATTTTACATACTGTACTTTATCGAATGCCTTTTCTTAAGTCCACGAAACATGCAAATACGTCTTTTCTTTGATCACGGCATTTTTGTAATAGGATGTTAAGTGCAAAAAGTGCCTCCCTGGTTCCCATAGCATTTCTAAAACCAAATTGGGTAACTTCAAGATCCTCTTCGCATTTGCGTCTAATTCTGTTGTGAAGTAATCTGAGGAAAATTTTAAGAGTGTGGCTCATTAGGCTAATTAATCGATATTCTGAGCATTTTCTCGTATTGTGTTTTTTAGGTATTGCGATAAAGATGGATTTGAGCCAATCTGCGGGAATCACTCCGGTGTTATATATTGAATTAAAAAGTCTTACTACTATTTTTATGTTATCATTCTCTCTCAGTTTCAGCAACTCAGTTGGTGTATCATCTGGACCACAAGCTTTTCTAATTTTAGCATTATTTATAGCATGTTCTACTTCGCATTTCATAATTTCTGGGCCGTCGGTATAGTTTTGGTAGAATTCGGCAATATTATGCCTGTCATCTTCAAACAACTCTGATATATACAGCTGCCATTCATTTCGTATTTCTTGCTCATTTACAATAATTTTGTTATTAGTCTCAACAAGTACAGAGGGAACTCGTTTTTTAAATACATTACTCATTTCTTTCAGTTTTTTGTGCACATTAAATAAGTCGAGTCTTCTCTGCAGGTGTCTATATTCTGTTACGTCGACGTTTATCAGTCGACGTTGTTTCATTAATTTCAAGATGTCGTCTGTCATCCAGTTATTTTTCTTGATTAAGTTTTTTCTATAATCATTGTTTGTGGAGATTTCGTTAACATGGTTTGTAAATTCACTCCATAGTTCTTCTGGATCTTCTAGTTGTTCTTCAATGTTTTTTATTCTATTGTTAAATTCTGTTTTAATGTTACGTTTTAGGTTTATATCGTCAAAGTTAAGTACATTGGTTTTTGGTTTTTGTCGCTGAATTTGTTTTAACCTTAGTTTAATATCTGCTACGAGTGGTTGATGATCAGATCCAATATCTGCACTAGGATATGTAGTGACTTTTTTGACGGCATTTCGGAAACGCTCATTTACAATTATATAGTCTATTTGATTTCTTGAAGACTCAGGGTTATTGCCATCATCACAAGGGGCTTTCCAATTTTTCTTCTTAGCATTATAATTTGTCTAATAAAAAAAATCCAAAAGTAACATTTTGTTAAATGTCCAGAGGTACACGTTCTTACCCTATATCTAAAATTCTCTCATCCTAAAGTTTTAGATATTAATTACGTAAGTCAAGTTTAAAACGTCTAATTGGCACTTCCAAAGAATCACCCTGTTTAAATTGGAGATAACTTGGCCGTTCCATGTGTAAATTTCACTCTGTATGATGTAACATTGCGGTGATCCAAACACTAAATTGTTTATAATCGAGTTAAAATAGACTTTGTTAAGGAATCAATTCAAAAAATGATAAAATATTCGATAATGAATAAAGTACAAACATAATATTTAATATTAGAAAAAAAATAAATATTCTATTATATTGGATATGGTATAATGATTAAGCTTTTGACATTATATAAAAATTATTTAGCACCTGTATTAATAAATATTTACTTACCTTGGACATCTTTGGTATCATCATGACCATATGAAGATTGTAAAATTAAATATATAAACAATACGATGAGATTCATGTTTGTTTGAAATTCTTTTAATTCATATTTAGCACGTTTCAATTTTATCTAAATATAACTAAATCTGCAAATTGACTGATATGTTCAAGTAAGTAAGTTTGTGATAAAACCTATAAATTTTGATTTTGCCAATTCCATATTGAAAGATTTATGGGTTGGGTAATTAAGTTCCATGAAAAGTTCGATAAAAATTATATCTGTAGGGTAAGGAAAGGTATATTGGCGATAAAAATGAAAAATACTAATAATATAGGAATTCGAAAACTAAGCAAGATATAAGTTTTGCTTTATTACGTTACTTATTATTTGAAGTAAATGTGTAGAAGAGTTAATTTAACAAAAATTGATTAATAATGATAGTAAATGTCAAATTAACATACACACCTATGTTAGGTAAGTTGGTGACACGGTAAGGTATATTGGTGATAGTGGTTAGGAAATTTGGTGATATTATGGAAATTGTATATTTAATCAGATATTTAAAAATTTTGTTCCATACAACGATCACATCTATAATAAAGGTTTTCATCCGCGTGAGTATCTTCGATAGATATGCAAATTTCGTGGTATGTTGTCAAACAAGATGAGCACTGAATCCATTGGGCTCCATTTTTTTTCTTAACATTAGTTGAATACAGGAGTCCACATAAGCCACACTCCCAATCATCTATTTTACTTTTTTTGCTTTTTAGACAGATTTGTCGACAGAACTCGAGGTCTGTTGCTGAAGATTTTCTGTTACTGAAGTGTTTTTATTTGTCGGTGTTAATTCGTGCATTTCGTCCTTGAGTCTCTTTTTCTTGATCTCTCTGGACGTTTTGAAGCTGTTGGTATTTTCAAAATATGATCGACTGTGGCTTTAGGATTTAAAATAGAAGTTTCAGATGTTGCGTCAGTTGAAACTGAAGAAGTAGGCATATGCCTGTTTTTAAAAGCATTCTCAATATTTTTCTTTGTAAAGGTGCTTATGTAAGCTGGATTCAAAATGGAATGGAAGTTGCTACGATTTGCAGCATCCGTAGGGTTATTGCTCATATAACGATTCATGCTATCGCGCCAGTAAGTCTTGATTATCTTTATCAGTAAAACTTGATTATCTTTCGCTATTTTCAAAACTTCAGCTCCAATGTGGGCATAATGAGAGTCCATCAACAATACTACAGGACGTTAAGGCGGTATCGTAGTGATAAAAAAATTTAACCATTCCAAAAACAATTCAGAATTTATCCATCCTTTAGGAGATAATTTTATTAATGCGTTGGTAAGGGCATCACTTTTAAGTGTATCGTTCCATCTAACACCTTTAAAGATTGCCATAGGAGGAATCCATGTTCCATCAGCATAAATGCATGCTAACATAGTTTGAGTTTGACCTCGTTCAGCGTAGGATCTTTTATAAACATACTTTTTACCATTGCCGGTAACAACTTTCGAAGGTTTCACTACATACGATAATCCATCCTAATTCCAAATTAAATTCAGTTTGTTTTTTATACTGAGTTTCGAAGAACATCATTCAGTTTCGAAAAGAAATCTTTGATCATAAATTCATTAGCCATGGAAGCTCTGTTGGCCAAAAGATTTTCTGGCACACGAAGGAACAAGTTGTACCTACTTTTAAAACTATTCCACCAACATTTGCTTGCAATGCAGTTAGTTAACGGTAAGAAATTCTCCCGACCATCCACTTTAGCAAGATCGTAAGCATATTTTCTAATGTGATATACGGTTAGTCCAAAACCCAATTCTTGCATTTCTATAATATAATTGTAAAGCCTCAACTCTAAATCACATGACAAGACCTCCCCAGTTTTCTAACCGAATCCTCTTCATTTCTTACTAATCTGACAGCGTTTTAAAGTTGCTGTTGATTATATTTTCTATATTTACCCTCTTTTTCCATTGCCAATCTAAAAGTAAAAATTAAATAGGTTATTTGGTGATATCGGAAACTTGTATACGTAATTTGGTGATAAAAAAAAAGTTAGCAGGTTTTAAAAATAAAATACATTTACGGATTCCTCAAAACAATACCTTTTGCATAGTATACTACACTTCTCTATTTTATTTTAAATAAAAGAACAAAATATCCAAAGTTAACGTCTCAAAAGTTCTTGAAAATATGTGCAAAAACACTAAGAAACAACAACCGCAATTTAAGGAATAAAAATTTACCTTGGCTAAATAACGAATACAATGCAGCTTTTTTTATTGATAATTAGTTTATTGAATGGTTTTATAAAAGTTTTATAAAGAAAACAGCAATTATTCCTATAAAAATGTAACCAAATATGTAGCAGTCTTTCACATTTAATAATAAGAAATGACTCCACTATCGCACAATGGTCAAAACAGTCTGTTTACTAAACGCAGGTGCGCGCATCGCTAAATCGGAATATATGTTTGTCTTGCTTACACTTGTAGCAACTTACTAGTGCTGTGTCATCAATGTGCTTGCATAGGGAACTGTGTGGTAATCTGATTAAAAATTATCACCAAATCACTTGTATCACCAATATACCTTTCCTTACCCTATATAAAATGTTGACAAACATTATATTTTTTAAAACGTGAGAGTAGAAATTCAAAAATGTCCATTGACAAAACGAAAATTCATATTTTTGCTTTAATCTGTGCCTTCTATAAATTTCAAGGCAAAACAGACGACAAAAAAAGGTGTAAGAAAGACATAGGTGTAACAAAAGTGCAACTTTTAGATAGGGAATGTAAAAGTTGCACTTTACAACATATCCCCTCATCTAAGCAAAAATCCTTCGCGAATAGTGCTTATAAAGAGTAAACCGAAATAAAAGAAAGACAGTTAAAATTTGATTTCACGTATAGTGCATGTCTATATTTGCTTATACGTATTTTATCCTAACAGGACTCATCAGAGCGACTATTACAGAAGCTCTAAACGTGAAAACAAATCTTTTCAGTCGAAAGAAGCAACAATAAAATGGCTTCAGTATGGACGATATAGTGACATCTGATAATAAATTGTGAAAGTAGAAATCCGAAGATTACAATTGACGAAATCAAAATTCAGATTTTTTCTTTAATCTGTGCCTTCTAAGAATTGCAAGGCAAAACAGACGATGTTAAAATATATAAAGAGAGAAAATGTGGAATCTAAAAGTTGCATTCCACAACATATATCCTCATTTAAGCAAAAATCCTTGACGAATTGGTTTCTAGTGCTCATAAAGAGTAAAAATGCGGGAAAAGGACGTTCGGGAAAGAAAACAAGAGTAAAAAATAAAGAATGGATAACTGATGACATTCTGCAGATGATGGACCAAAGAAGATTAATGAAAAACAGGGACGCAAAAAAAATACCAAGAAATCAACCAAAAAATTAAAACAGAAATACGAAGAGCCAAGACGACATGGATGCAAGAAAAATGTAAACTAATCGAAGAGCTCCAAGTGAAATACGATCACATAAATACCCACCGAAAGATTCGAGAAGCCACTGGTCAATACAAGAGGAGAAACACACACCTCCTAATAAACAAAGGCGGGAACCTGACGACGACAGTTAAGGAGAAGTTGGTGACCTGAAAAATGTACCTCGAAGAACTTTACCGAGGTAACCTTCCAGAAATAAATTGCATGACATGGCCGTCAAAACTAAGAATGGTAAGGCCACAGGTCCGGACGAAATACCCGTTGAACTTATGAAGGTGATGAGTGAAGTAAGCACAAAGAACTTAACTGAACTGTTTAACGCCATATACGATTCAGGTAAGATCCCAGAGGAATGGCTATTGTCAACATTTATAACACTAACAAAAAACAATCTGCGAAAACGTGTGAAGATTTCTGAACTATCAGCCTTATGAGTTATGCACTTAGATTTTTCTTAAAATCATACATGCCAGAATTTACAAAAAATGCGAAGAAAATATCGGTGAAATGCAATTTGGATTCCGCAATTTCATGGGTACACGTGAAGCACTTTTCACCTTACAAGTTCTACTTCAGAGACACCGCGATATCAATTGTGATGTCTATATTTGATTTATTGATTACTCCAAGGCATTTGACCATTGTCAGCACCAGAAGATGTTCGCCGCCCTACAAAGAGTAGGATTGGATGAGAAGGACATTCAGATCATAACGAATTTATACTGAAACCAGCGTGATCAGTCAAGGTCGAAGACCAGCTGACCGACCAAATGAAGATCAGGCGAATAGTAAGGCAAGGCTGTATGCTCTGGCCGACTCTTTTTAATATATACACTGAGAAAATTTTTACTGAAGCCCTCACAAACCTAGAGATGGGAATCCGAGTGAACGGTGAATACATCAATAATATCCGCTACGCCGATATGACACCGTGTTCTAGCGACCAGCCTAAATGACCTACAAGCCTTACTAGACCGAGTAAGAACTGTGAGCGTAACATGCGGACTAGACCTTAACGTTAGGAAAACTAAATTTATGGTTGTCAGCCGTGCAAATTTACATCCCGGGGCACTAATGGCAGGTAGCGAAGAGATCCAGATAGTCGACAGATTCACTTACCTCGGAACTACCCTCACTCAAGAGAGTAGATCCAGAATTGAAATGGCACGGTCTACATTTAGCAAGTTGAGATCCTTGCTGTGCTGCAGTGATCTCAATTTGGGAACCAAGATGCGGATAGTGAGGTACTACATTCTTCCAGTGTTACTATATGGAGTTCAAGCCTGGACACTGATGCAAGCCAAGGAAAGCGGATTAAAGCCTTCGAGATGTGAAGAAGAAGAACTGTTACTTGCATTTATGCATAAAATATTCATTAATCAGATTATTTTTTCACTTAACTATGTATTCAGTGATAACAATAATTTATGTATTTTTATGTTTCGTCGAATTATCAGCGATTCTTGAAGTCCCTAACATTTGGTGGACTAACCCTTTAACGTTTCTGCTATCCTGCTACAAGAACGTAAAAACTCGCGAAACTTTTACTTGTTTTTACCATCCTGATAAAAAATCTTACTTTTTTTGAA